TGCTCCGCCCCCTCATCCTGCTCCTCCCCTTCATCCTCCTCCTCCCCTTCATCCTCCTCCCCTTCATCCTCCTCCCCTTCATCCTCCTCCCCTTCATCCTCCTCCCCTTCATCCTCCTCCCCTTCATCCTCCTCCCCTTCATCCTCCTCCCCTTCATCCTCCTCCCCTTCATCCTCCTCCTCCTCACCCTCCTCCTCCTCCTCACCCTCCTCCTCCTCCTCACCCTCCTGCAGGCCACCGTGGGCTCCACCAACCTTCTCCAGATGATGTACAAGGAGCCTGCTCGATGGTCCTACACCTTCCAGACCTTCTCCTGCCTGAGCCGGCTGAAGGCCCTGCTGGAGCCCCCTCCCCCCAGCTTCCCCACCCCCCCAGTCCGGGTCTTTGAACGTTCCATCTACAGCGACAGGTACCCACCCCCCCACACCTCCCCCTGTAAAAAAGGGAAGGAAAAGGGATTCAGGGGAAGCAGGAGCAGCCCAGCTGGTGTCCCCTGGGACCCCCAGGGTCAGCAGAGACACCATCCCCAGTGAAGTGCAGAGTGATGATTAATTATAAGAATGTGCTTGTGGGATAATTGGGGGGCTTTGTTGTCCCCCCACATCATTTTTGCTGGTGGTTCCATCCTCATCCGTGCCAGGAGGTCCCTGGAAGTCCCATGGGTGATGGGGCTCAGTGCTGGGGAGCTGGGCTGGGCTGTCCCCCAGCATCATCAAATCCTAGAATCCCAGACTGGAGGGACCTTAGAGATCATCGAGTCCCAACCCCCTGCATGGGCAGGGACACCTCCCACCAGCCCAGGCTGCTCCAAGCCCCATCCAACCTGCCCTTCAACACCCCCAGGGATGGGGCAGCCACAGGTGCCCTGCCCAACCTGGGCCAGGCTCTCACCACCCTCACACCAAAGAATTCCCTCCTCATCTCCAACCTCCATCTCCCTCTCCCACTTTTCATCCATCCCCCTCATCCCATCCCTCCCTGCCCTTGTCCCAGGTCCCTCCCCAGCTTTCCTGGAGCCCCTTCAGGCACTGGCAGCTGCTCTAAGGGCTCCCTGGAGCCTTCTCTTCTCCAGGCTGAACACCCCACCTCTCCCAGCCTGGCTCCAGAGCAGAGCTGCTCCAGCCCTCCCATCATCTCCATGGCCCTAATGACCAATAAACCCCCACTGAGATTTTTTTTTTCTAATCCTGCCCCTGATCACCCTGCATGACCCCCCCAATCAAGGATTCCCACTGCAACTAAATGCCTCTGGTTCCTGGTTTGGTGCAAAAAGAGGTGGGAGGAGGGAAAAAGGGGCTGTGAAGTTGCCTGGACTTGGGGATGTCTTGGTGGTGCCAGCTGCCCCATCCTGACCCAACCCATCCCAACCCATCCTCCTGTGCCTTTCCAGGTATGTCTTTGCCAAGAACCTGTTTGAGGTTGGGCACCTGCAGCCTCTGGAGTGGGCAATTTACCAGGACTGGCACAGCTTCCTGCTCCAGCAGCTGGGCCCCCGGGCCACCCTCCAGGGCTTCCTCTACCTGCGGGCTGAGCCCCAGGTGGGTCCAGGTGTGGGGGGCTGGGGACCCGGGGGGGTCTGGCTGTGCTCAGAGCACCTGGGAATGCTGACATGTTGGGGTTTGGCTGCAAAGGGATGGTCTGGGGCAGCCTGGGAATGGCAGGGGGAGTTTTGTTATGAAGTGGGGCTTGGGGAGGGAGGGCTGTGGTGTGTTCTGGGAATGCTGGATGCCCATCCCTCCCATTCCCCTCCCATCCTTCCCACCTCCTACTGACCTTCCTGTTAACTTCCCATCTCTGCTGTGTCCAGTTAACCTCCTGTCTCTCCCATTAACCTCCTTTTAACCTTCCCTCTTCCATTAATCTCCCATTCACGTCCCATCTCCCCCTTTATGTCCCACGTCCCCTGGTAATCTCCCATTACCCTCCCATCTCTCCCAGTATCACCCCGCCTCTCCTGTTAATCTCCTTCTAACCTTCCCTCTCCTGCTAATCTCCTGTTAATCTCCCCTTCACATCCCACCTGTCCCGTGTACGTCCCTCTCTCCCGGTACAGACGTGCCTGGAGCGGCTGCGCCGGCGCGCGCGGAGCGAGGAGAGCGGGATCCAGCTGGGGTACCTGCAGCAGCTCCACTCCCAGCATGACCAGTGGCTGCTGGAGAAAACCACCGAGTGAGTCCAGACCGACACCCCGACCCACCCTGCCAGGGTTTTGGGGTGACTCCCCTGGGTTTTGGTGGGGGGTTTATTGTGGTTTAACCCCTTCTTTTCTCCCTCCCTTCTCCAGGATCCACTTTCCTGACATGAAGAACGTGCCCGTCCTGGTGCTGGATGTGGACAAGGACTTTGAGCACAACGTGGCCACAAGGGATGTTCTCATGGCACAGGTGGGCACGGCTGAGGTGGCATCTGTGGCACCTCCTGCCTCCTGTGGCACCTCCTGCCTCCCGTGGCACCCCGTGCTGCTGGGAGTGCCGGGAGCACCCACAGAGCCCTTCAGGCCCCTGAGCTTCCACCTCATCCTCATTTTTCCATGGAAAAAACCCATTTCCAAATCCTTTGTCCAAGCTGTTTTAAACCGTGGCCATCCCGGTGACATCCCAGTGCCATCCAAGTGCCATCCCCATGCCATCCAGGCACCATCCCAGCACTAGCCAAGTACCATTCCAGTGCCATCCTGGTGCCATCCCGCACCATCTGAGTGCCGTCCTGGCATGATCCAAGTGCCATCCCAGCACCATCCTGGTACCATCCTGACACAATCCAAGTACCATCCTGGTGCCATCCTGGTACCATCCTGGTGCCATCCCGGCCTGATCCAGGTGCCACCCTGGCATGATCCAGGTGCCATCCCAGTGCCATCCCAACACCACCCCTTGGCTTCTCCCTACAGGTGGAGGCGTTTGCCACGAGGCTTCGAGCTGCTTTGCCCTCACACCCTGCCCCTCTCTGAGCAGAAGCCCCATCCCTAGTACTGGTACCCGTGGGAAAGGGGCATCACCCTCGTGAGCTCCAGCTGAAGATTCCAAGGCCAAGGGACATCCTGGTCCCCAGTTGTCCCCTCCCGGGGGGTATGGAAGGCACTGCAGGATGGTTCAAGGTGGATCATCGTGGACACAGACAAGGAAGGAGCTTTTTGGGGGGGAGGTTCCCCAGGCTCTTGGGGGGGGGG